TCTGTGTTCGTATGGAAAAGTAGCTTATGTCGAAAGGCTGGCTTTAGTATAAATCGGCATTCGCAGCATACGATTGCGAATGACTCACTGGCGCTGAGCTGTTGTAGAACTTTCGGCAAATAAACGTGCAAGAAGTAGTTCCGATACTAGCAAGTCAATATTCTTATTAAGTCTCATCAAAAAATTCCTTGCCGTTTAAAGAGTAAAGGGAATGCCGCATTATACTAAAGCCAGCCTTTCGACATAAGCTACTTTTCCATATGAACACAGATATGTGACTTGTATATTCAAGTTGGTAGCCCCAACTCACTTCTTACAAAAGCCATAAGCTCGCATACATCTACAAAAATAAAAGCGATAGGAAATTTGACTTACTCAACACACAGCAGCACTAAAAAACAAGCTAACAGGATAGTAGCTTCTGGTTGTTTCGGCGATTTCGCAATTTGTTTGTCATAACTGCAGGCATTTCAGTGGCTACAAGGTGCGAAAGGAATATTAACGCCACATCCTCTATGTACACATTGCTACTAATACTTGGAGGCAACAATTTCAGTTCATAAATCTTGTTGTGCATATTGGGTAATGTGACATGATAAAGCAATAATTATTCCTCGCACTCTGATGATGTGTATATTCATATGCATACGTATATACAGACACATACCTACATATGTATGCTGGTAAGTGGACCCACGTTGGAAGCATTGACGCAACTTGGGTTGGTTCGTAGTGCTTTCGGCTGCATTGTGGGCTAGTAGCAGTTGCAAGTTGAGTTGCAGTATATTACGGTGAATTCGTGTGAGATTAATTTGGCGTCAAGTGGTTAAATATGTAGATATGCATACCGTTATGTATAGGAATTAATCAATGACAAATATGCATTTGAATCAGTGGATTATTTATTTGAGATAAATGGCTTAGATAAGTCTACCAAATGTCCTGCATGCATATTAATATGCTCGATTTGAATTATATCACCATCGATTTAGAATGACTAATTAGGCATTTAAACATGCAATAAATTTACTAAAAAATGTCAATCCATTAAAAATTAGTTTAAAGATTGCTACTTTTTCAGAGAAAAGACACACTTATTTTCTTCCCATGTCTTTGAAGTAA